GTGTGATGTCTGAAGTGGACACGAAACTGCAGCTTTGGCTTTGGAGGACGTCCCCTTCCCGAAGGCTTCTGAACAGGCATCTCCCTGTGGTCAACGATATCATCTATGTCGACTTCTYCGTCCATGGTTGGGGGCAGCATTGATTGACGAGAGGGAAACTGATCAGTTTCCTCGAACGCAGCAAAAGACTAGGTAAGTTTTGAGATGACCAGGGATACGGATGAGATAAGATGGACCATCAGGATCTGTCCCTACTACGTCTAAAACTTCCCAAGGTCCAAAGTACTGAGGCATGAGTTTGCGGGATATCCTGAACTCCTGTCCCAGTTCTGAAGACTTGACCCTGACTCTATCCCCAACCTGAAATGTAGAAGGGCGGCGGTGTTTATTCTCAGATTCTATCATTGCTGCCTGCGCCTTCTGCATATGCTCTACAGCCTCCTGCATTTTCTGTTCATAACGATAAGCGAACTCCAAAGTGCCCGGTGCAACCGTTGGCTGGTTATCAGGAAATAGGAAGTCTAAGGGCAGCCAAGGCCTAAAGGTAAGATGTAGACTGTTAGGACTTACCCCGGTAGCGCTGTGTACAGCGTTATTGTACAGACTAGATACAAGAGCAAGCTTTTTGTCCCAGTCCACCTGATTGGGCTTAATGTAATGCCGCAACAGGTGTTGAACAGCGCGGTTCATCTGTTCAGCCTGGCCGTTTGCTTCTGGGTGGTTTCCCGAAGTCATTTGCAGTTGAGTTCCCTGTTTAGCTGCAGCGGCCTTCCATAACTCACTTGTAAATCTGACATCCCTGTCACTTACAATAGACTTCGGCAATCCAAAATCCCTCACCTCGTTCTCCTTGAACAGCCTGATTACATACTCGGTCTTCGCTGTTTTCGGCATGGCTATTAACCTAACATACTTACTAAACCTATCCACGATGACGAAGATCTGCCTCATCCCACTCTTGCTGGTGACCAGCGTATCCACGAAGTCCATGGACAAGCTTTCACCCGGCCTTTCCAGAATCGGAAGGGCTTAAGCAGCCCAAGAGGTGCCTAAGTACGGGGCTTGTCTCGTTGACAAACTTGACAAGTTTCCACGTACAACTTAGCATCTTTTAACATCGTGGGCCACCAGAACCTTTGCAGCAAATTGCCTGCGGTCTTCTTGTACCCAAAATGGTCGGTGGCGTCATGACACTCGCCTAAAAACAGACTACGCAAAGACTCTTTATCTGGGACACATAAACGTTTATTCCCTTCCTTCTCGAGAAACAGCAAGTCATTGACCAACTCAAACTCGGCTGAAGTTTGTTTGTCCTTCGCCTCGAGTCTGCGTATGATCTCAAACATAAATTGGTCCTCTCGATAGGCATCCACCAAGGATCGAGTAACATCATCCGTAAGATCGTACTCAGTAATCAGCGCACCTGAAAAGTCAGGTCTACGCGACAAGGCATCAGAAACCATGTTGTACTCACCCTTGATGTACTGAGGGTCAAAGTCATACTGCTCAATGACTTCTATCAAACGCTGCGTCAGAGAGTACAGGCTGAGTTCTCATCCATCTCAAGGTCTGATCATCAGTCCTGAGGATGAAGAACCTCCCAAGGAGATCATGTCTCCAATGGGTCAGCGCCTCGAACACTGCATAGAGTTTTTTCTCATAGGTGGACTTAGCCAACTTTTGAAACGGCATTTTCTTGGACATGTACTCAACAGGCCTCAACTTTGACCCCTCCTGTTGCGCAAGCACGGCGCCAATGCCATATTGGCTAGCATCCGTGGTTACTATAAACGGCTTATCAGGATCGGGAAGTTTCAAGACTTCATAATGCGTTAGTGCATGCTTCAGATGTCTGAAAGCAGCCTCGCACTCATCTGTCCCCTCCCACCAGGTGTCAAGGCGGGTCAGATCAGTCAAAGGAGCGGCCACTACGCTATAGTTCTTTACAAAAGTCCGGTAGTAGCCTGTCATTCCCAAGAAAGATCTCATCTCAGTCACAAACTGAGGTCGTGGCCAATCACGAATGCTGCCCATCTTCGCGTCATCGAGCTTCAACCCTTCCGCGGAGATCTCATGACCGAAGTACAAGACTTGGGTGCGCCCAAACTCGCACTTCTCACCGTTGATCTTTAACTTGTGTTGTCGCAGAAGACTAAGGACTTTGTCCAAGTGTGCAACGTGCTCCTCCACAGTCTTACTAAAAATAAGTATGTCATTGAGGTACACGATGACAAACTTATCCAAGTAGTCATGGAATATCCAATTCATAGCGTGATGAAAGGTGTCAGGAGCATTGCACAGGCCAAAAGGCATCACCACAAACTCGTATAAACTGTACCTGGTCTGAAATGCGGTTTTGTGTTGATCCTCGGGCCGGATTGCAATCTGATGGTACCCGGACTTCAGATCTATCTTACTGAGGTACCGACACCCTTACACTCTATCTAACAGATCGTCGATGCGCGGTAGGGGCTCTCTGTTCTTTACAGTGATAACATTGAGACCCCTACAATCAATGCACATCCTGAGAGTACCCTCCTTCTTAGGTACGAATAGTACTGGAGATCCGTAAGGAGATACACTCGGCCAGATTCAACCCTTCTCTACAAGTTCCTTGAGTTGGCGGCGAAGCTCATCAAGCTCGCCTGGAGACATCCGATAGATCCTACCCTTCGGAATACTAGACCCTGGGATAATCTCTATCGCGTGGACGACCTCCCTATCAACAACCCCTGTTGGCTCTTCAAATAGATCAGGGTACTTGGCAACTACTCCCTCTATCTCCAGCGGAATTTTCACCGGCTCGCCTGCAGCAGAGACATAAACTAAGTACATACCCTCCTCCTGATTTTGCTTATAATAATTATAGAATGCAGCCGCACACAAGCACCCGTAGGACTCAATCAGACTACTAACTTTTAACTTGTGTAATCTGGCGGTCCCTCCACCTGGCAAAGTGTGCTTGACCACTTTTCGGTCGGAGTCAAACTGGGGCTGTGCAACCGAGAGGTAGTACATACCTAACAAGATATCCATGGGGAGATCGTCGCTCACTAGGAATGAGACACGATGCCTCAATTCCCCTCCCGCGTACGGGAACAGGCACTCAACATCCTGAAGGTAGTCATTAACTACCATGCGCTGTTTGTTGGCACAGGGAACTCCACAGGTCGACTCAGGCGCTGCACTTGCCCCTGTAAATGCAGACTCTCAACGCACGCGCGACTAATGAAGTTTCGTGTCGAGCAAGTGTCATAATAGGCCCTGGCCTTGCGGCTGCCTACAACTATCTCGCTGACGAACATCTCACCCTTCGAGGCTTTAGCTAGTGCCGTCCAAGAAGCTAGCGGGTCTCGTCTAGACCACTCCTCCTCTAGCTCCTCTAAGGACTCGAACACATTCATCGAGCAAAGGGTCAATGGGTCTGAATGTGTTTCCGGGACGACAAGGGAATCAGTAGCTTGGGCCATTATGCGAGATGGCGAGGGTGTCTTCACCACCTCGTCCCTAGTAGGAACAACTATTATTCCTACTGGCCTCACGTGTTTCCCAGAGCAGTGCCTGACGAACTGGCAACATTGCTACCTACGGAAGATGAGGATCCTACCGCCTTCCCCATAGTAGGCGGGATCTTATCGGTGACCTTCTTGTTCCTACATTTGAACTGGTTATGTCCGTATTGACCACCACGAATGCAGGCCTGACAGTTCCACCGATCTCTCCACACGTCCTCAGAAAGACCCGCTTTCTCCCATGGAGGAGCATTGGGGTCAACTTGATTCCTAGACCAAGAGCCCCCCCTGACGTCTACCGGTCCCCTTACCTTTTTGTTGGGTTACGACGACGACTACTCCACCCTCTGAAGCATCGCCACCTGCCTTTGCACCTACTCTTAATTGGGAGTTATCGTCCAACTCAATGGTTGATCCATCGTGGTCGACGAACATAATGCGGCCCTTGGCTTTCCGATTAGGAGTGTCTTCTTTTTCCCATCCGTCACTAAGTTATGTCCATGCCCTATTTTTGGCTCTAGGTCTAGGGCCACCTTGCTGAACGAAGGAAAGTTGTGCATATTCATGTTGGCCTCTTTTGCCAACTGGTTCCTGAGAGGCTGAGATAAGCACCTCAAGTACGAAGTCAACAGGACCCGGGGGTCATAGCGCACCCCTGAAACACAGATCAGACGCTCCACAACGTCTGTGGCTTCCCTTACTGACTTATACTGCCTCGTGTGCAGTGTCAGGCTCGCATCAATGGCCTTTTGGGCCTCCTGAGGATCATGCCATCTCTCTCCCACCATCTTCAGGAAGTCCTCTAATTTATGAGAGGCTGCCCAAGAGCGGAAGTCATGACCGTGCCCCTGGAGTTGTACTAACCCACTCAACCATCTTGCTGCACTACCCTCTAGGTAGGATGCAGCCACAAGCACTTCTTCGTGTGGCAAGGTGAGCTTACACCTGACATAGACCGGCACTGCCCTCAACCATGTGTCGAGATCTTTGCCTCTCTTGTCCCCTGTAAAAGGTTTGGGAGCGGCAATGGCCGTCTTCGGAACCCACTGACTTTGTCCTGGTCCCTGCACCAACCCGGGCTGTAGACCCAGTGATACAGGTTGTTGTGCTAGCTGCTGGCCCTGTGTGCCCTGTGGCTGCACAAACTGCGAGACAATAGATTGCCCACTAATGGCAACCTGTGATGGAACCTGGGTGACCACTGACTGTACTGGAACCTGAACACTAGGTCCTGCAGATAGCCCTCCTGAAAGCGGCATGCCCAGGGAAACGATAGCAACCGTCGACGGGGCTACAAATGGGGATACCCCAGTGACCGGTGGGACAGAGAAGGGAGGATATGGCACGGGCCAGGCACCAGGCCCTGCTGGTGATGGTGCGGCCTGAGCGCGGCCTGCCAACACGGCTAGGCTTTGTTGAATGTCGTGAAGGATGGTAGTTTGATGCTCCTGCATCTCAATTACTCCTAGCAGGGCCCTCCAAACTACCTTCACATCATCATTCATATGCGTCAGGTCCATCGTCTCGAACTCCTCTATGTCTGTCCCTCTCCGTTGCATCCTGGTTCTTCTTCTAATCATCATCTCTTTTTCCCTTTTTATCTGTCCTAAAGCCTGCTGTAGTTGTGCCTCCTGCAGGGCTGCCTGCTGGATGGCGACATCCTCTGGGGTTAACACCACGGGCTGGCTTGCCATTAAGCCAGTGGACTGACTCACGGTCTGCGCGACCGTAGACCTGGCGGTACCCAAACTACCGGCTGGGGAAGTCTGATGCGCAGAAGTGCTCATGGTTGTGGTAGCCATTGCTGCTGTAGCACCGGCCTCGCTAGCTAATGCCCTGCTGGCCTCGGCTGCTCTAGCTCTTCTCTGCTGCTGCCTTTCCCGCTGCCGGCGGAACAGTTCCCTATCACCCCCCGGTCCTAGGGACACGTGAGTTATCGGGCCTCTAGCTGATCGCGAGATCCTGCGGTCGTCCTCTCCGATGTCCTCGCTGTCACTCATAGGCTACAACACTGTGCACCGCCTGCACTAGATCATTCAGGATGCCTACCGTAGCATAGTGCACAGACCAAACTAATTAATGGTGGCTATTTTTGGAACAGACCTCATTTGGGGTCAGCAGATAATGCAGATTCCTACAACTGAAACTATTTTTAGTATGACTAGTCCACAAACAGAAGCACCAGGAACAATCAAAAGTTCTAACTAATGTTGTCTGTCAGATGTTAATGGCAGTCCATCTAACTAATCAAAAACATAAAAATAGATTCACTTGTGTGGATAGGACAGCATGGTATTTTCTTGAACTTGTCACCTGGAATCAACCCCTCCCTCCAATCTACACTTGCGTATCTCTTGCCGTCAGCGTCCTAAGCAATCGGGTAGCATGTGTGACTGAAGGTGTGCAATCCGGTCCCACCCCTGTGCCCCAAGTTATCGTCGAGCAAGGCAGCCACAGCACTCTTATTTATCCTCGTACGCCGATGAGCCTTACACTCCGTTGATCTGGCTGATCAAGAGGCAATTTAACGTCCGCCCCCAAGTGACATCAGGAATTATTTTACGTCGCAACAGGACGACGATCACAGCCAGATCAGAGCCGAGTCCCCAACCAGAAATGTTTATAGACAGTCTGGTAAGCGTCTCAAGAGGCTGCCACACCCGAGTTAACCTCTATGTGCGCAAGCAGCAGAACCAAAGACTTGCAGCGAAGCATGCGTGTACTACACCCAGTGGGTTGGCATGGTGACCGTGACCCAGTGCTTCGTCCAGGGCCCTTCAGAAAACAACGCCCTCTTCCCCCTGATGCTGCACAGGAAGTATGCCGACTCTCAAGGTTGAGCGCACTCGACACCTCACGATGAGAGGACTCTCAAGTTGGATCACACAACCTCGCGGTAAGAAGTGTTGGAGAGGGTAGATAAGGTTGGGAGTAACATACCTCAATATTGCTGCCCCCAACCACAGAGATAATCTCACCAGATGTCCCAATGGCAATTGCGATGACCAGTCACTGCGTCGGCACAACCAGCATTATTCACCGTTCCACCTCAGCATCAATCGCACATTAGATAGTTCTCATCACACTGTCCAGACCATATTCACCTCACACAGCCTTTCCTGGCGATTCCCTTCACCTACTGGGTCGCCACACACTCATCTCCACCCTCCTCACTACACACCACTTACGGCCAAACTCGCCCAGCAGACCGCATGTATATACCGCATAAGGCAGAAGACAAGCGCCAGATGAGCGCAATCGAACCACAGCTCCGATACCAAATTGCAAGGAAGATGAGCATTAGCGAACTCAAGCAATCAAACAGCATCATACGTATGTGTCCAGATAGTCTTGACCTCGAACCAACAGCAGCCATGCATCACGAGATTCACCAAATCAGAACACACCAATAGTT